ACTCTTAGTCAGGGCCGAGTAGGTATAGCCGTGTAATAAGATAACACAAAGCAACTTTCAACTGAAGTATATACAGCAGCAGAACTCCTGCTTTTCTTCGAAATCGTTTCCAATCGATTTTGTGGACATCATAGAAAAGAATTACGCTGTCATTGGACATTTTCGATTAAAAATTTAAGTTCAAGAAGGATCTGCGCACTCCCAAACGAAAAAATGCATTCAATTATTCTCTTAATCAGACGTCATACTAGCTTGTCCAGGTCCATGAATTCTTACGTCGGGGCTTAACAAGGATCAGTATTATCGAACAAATTATCTACAAAGTCTAGAGTCCAGAAAAATTAGAGAACCAAAGTTCCTTTTCTGTGTGTTTCAAATTGATTCATTTTCTCGGGCTCTTCACAAAGCTACAAAAACTAAACTGGTGAGTACACTAGAAGCAAGCTCGACGTGTGCACCTCGCGTTCAACTCGCTTCAATTCTTTCTTTCCAGACTCTGTCAAGTCATCTCTCGTTAATCCCTCCCATGCTTCGTTCTTGTTGCACACAACATACACATCGACACGGCTCTCTCACTCATGTCGTCTCCCTTTTCTTTCGTTGCAAGTAATGCTTCCGATAACACTGCGTTCGGATCTGAGACCACTTCAGCGTTCAAATTCAATTCACTTGCTCGTATCTTTTCAATCGCTATCCTTCTTTTTTCCTTTAGTTCAAGTGTTCGTTCCCTGGCATGTATGTAAACCCATCAAAGTGAGCTTGAGCTCGATGCGTCGCCCCGAGTTCTTGAGTTACAGGCGAGTCCCGAGCCATTTCACGTGTGAAAATATTGGCGACATTGCCCGTATCCATTTCACTATTGACCACAGGTTTAAACGGTGGTTCCATTTCTCGTTTCAGTAACTTGTCAAAGTCAATACTAGCAAAGAAAGGATGGTCCATTATCTCTTGTACACCAGATGGACCAGAGCCCAATCGCTTTGCAGGGTCTCGACGAAGTAATCCAGTCAAAAGATCCTTTGCATCTTCCGAAAATGCTTGCGTAAAAACAACATCGCGATGCAAAATGTTATGAAACATGCGCTTTCGGTTTCGATCAAAAAATGGTGTTTGTCCTGTCATCATTTCATACAAAAGCGTACCAAATCCCCACCAATCGACTGCCTTTCCATACGGTAGACCTTTCAGTAACTCAGGAGCAATGTATTCAGCTGTTCCACAGAATGTTTTGGCACCATCAGGTACATCAACATTTTCTTTTGATAATCCAAAGTCCGTTAACGCAATGAATCCTTTATCGTCCATCAAAATGTTCTCAAGTTTCAAGTCTCGATACGCAATATTAAGTTCATGAAGATGAGACATCGACATAAGCAATTGAGCTGCATAAAATCGTGCTCGTTTTTCCGAAAATTTTCGGGATTTTCGCAAATGGAAAAACAAGGAGCCACCATTGTAATAATCCATCACAAGATACAATTTGTCTTCATTCTGAAATGCATAGCGCAATCGCACGACAAAAGGATGATCAATATCTCGTAAAATTCGACGTTCAGATTTCGTATGTTCCACTTGATTTTTTGCAAACACGGAAGCTTTTTTCAACACTTTCATGGCATAAATGGCATTTGGATTCGATGCTCCATCGGGGACTTTCTTACGCACGAGCATCACTTTTCCAAATGCGCCTTTTCCAATGACTTTAAGCAGATCAAAGTCTTCAACACTGAGTTTTGAATTCTGTGGCGGTTGAGCATTCGATTCTGATCGTCCTTGATTCGACATTTGCGTATCAGATCGATTACGAGCTTGCGACATATCCGTTGACAAGTTTGTCGCGGTGACAGCATCACTTGCCGTTCGATTAAGACGTGGATATGTTGGAAGTGGCTGCGTCGGAGCTTGATTCGTACGTGGTCCCTCAGTCGCACACTCAGTACATACACGTTGTGCTGTACTGGAACCCGGTAGAAATAGTCGATCTCGGGAACAAGCATTGCAAACTGCACGGTGGCACATTCGACAATGATGACGACGATCAAAGAGAGTAAAGTGAAAGAGACAGAGATTACAGTGTTTTTCACTATTGCCCATTTTGGAATTGTTTGCCTCTCGTCGACTTGATTCTTGACGTTGTAATTGAGGAACAGTAGCATTTGTACCATTCCCACCAAGTACTGGAGCTGAACTTGGTGGTTCCGATACTGGTTTTTCACCCGCGACATATGTTGTAGCATCACGTGTATCTAAGAATCGAAAGAGTGCATCTTGGATCTTATTGATACAAAAAGCTGTCACATAGTAATGATTCGCATGCGCGCGTGGTGGTCGACCAGCAGATAAGCACGTACAACCAGTACGATGTGGTGCATCACCATCTAATTTTGTCTGAAACAATTGATCATTACTTTCCCAATACATTGTACGATGTGCCAAAATCGACTTGACAGATTGCGAATCACCATCTTCAATTCGATGACTTGATTCAATCAAAGCAATTGCACCATTTCGACGCATCAATTGATCTCCACGCGATTGAAGAAGGTATTTAATCAATACTCCTCCATACGAGTAACCTAAGAAATACACTCGTCGTGCTCCCGATCGTGCAATGTAAGAATCCCAAAGAGAATCCATATGTTCTTCTGGACTTGATGAACCTGGAATTTGTACTCGTTGTTTTCCATCTCGTAGAACAATGACATTTTTATTTGGATTTGCAACAATGATACCATAACCTTCATCAATGGCTTTACGAAAGTATTCAAGCATACTTCCACTTTTCACACCAGCATGTAATACAAGACCACGACTCCATAAACCAGGATACAAGCCACGACTGACAGCTACAAAAACTAATAGTTTCTTACACGTCTCGTAATTTCGAGAAACAAAGACATTAGCTTTCACAGGGGTATCCGATGTACTGGTTGCAGGAATAAATGCTTCTGTAAAACTTAATTCTTTTCGCATGGAATCTTGAACATATTTGACAACAGTATTAATGATTTCATCTTGATGAACTGCCAAGTCCGAGTCATCAAGACCTTTGCCCGTAGCTTTTAAATGAATCATTCCTTCGTTATCCATTGCATAAAGTGGATGGGAAAATGGAAGAGCAGCTGCACGTTGACTTGATTGTTGATAATCTGCTGATGCAGGTGCCGGAGGAACATTTCCATTTGATTGCCAAGATGGTTGTGCTTGGTAATCCGAACCGTTGCTATAGGTACGTCCAGGTGCAGATGGTGGACCACGCGGGACACCTGAAGTACCAGTTGCTCCATTAGGATAATATTTGTTCCCAGCACCACTTGGGTCTTTGTTTTTATTCTTCTTTCGTCCCCATCGTGGAAATCGGAACGACATAATTGAGACTATCACTTAACCAATTAGTATAGAAGAGAAAAAGAAAAGGAAAGAAGGAGATGACGGTACCTTGTTAGTAGAGGAATTATCGATTGCAAGCTACGACACAAGACACGACAAATAGAAACGTCAGATTGCTTACTCCACGTATGTCGTTTCTACTTTCGTGAATGTTTTCTCTTTCAAGAGTACATAGCGCACGTACCCTGTCACTGAGAAGGGGGATCGGCCTCTGCCGCGAGAGCGAACCCTTGTCACTGCTGTCGACCAGATGGTAAAGGACGTTAGGAGCTCCTGCTTCCTCTTCGTCAAGCGCCTAGTGGCGTTAGGTCAGCACAACAATCCGAACTGGACGTTCGTGTCTTCTTGGCTCCAGCCGTGACTCCCCCCCTTGTTGATTAGCTCCCCTATCCCGGAACAAATTGCGCATTTTGATTGGGAGATACAACTTACGATAGGACGATAGAAACACAGAAACGAGTCGAGTGCGCTGGCGTCCGGACGCAGATGAAAAACCTCACCTCAAAAATGGACCTTGGAGATAGGAAATGGGCTACTAAAGTTACTATAATAGCATACGCTGTCAAGATTACTATGTGACGTAATCGTTGCGACGTTTGATATGATATGCCCAAGTATTGATCTAGCAAGTCTCTTTATTTAGTACAGTGACACGTCGACTGATAGTATGCTACTTTAGCTTTGCATTAATCCTAAGGTAAGGCTTGCTTTGATGTAGTATTTCCAGATTCCAAATATATTATTGCTACTTGTATCATATCAACTTGGAACTCATTTAGGCTGTAATGATGTAAACGGCATTTTTTGACAAATAGTACTGAATGCCTTTCTTCAAACGAAACTGTGCTACACATGGATATGCACGGATATGTCAAGAACAATAGATCAATTTGCCCAAATGAATACATTTATGACAGTTTCTTTGACCGCGAGACTTTCGCAACAGAAATTTCACTCACTTAACGGTGATCCGAAACTGGGCACCACGCCTTTTTATACCGTAACGACTATTATTCAAAGTCTATTCCAATCAATTCCATTTTCATTAACCGTTAACTATTATGGGGCGTTTAACGCTTTAATTGATACAAACTATCTCGACGACACAATCAAACGTCAGCTGAAAGGTGAAAGATGACAGATACCTGCTGCACTTCACAGCTGGCGTCCCAGCTCATAAGAGCGTAGCCATACTAATAAAATAGGCACAACTGGCTTTTCTTTTTGTCATAAAACCTCGCTTGTTGTAACATCGTTAAGAGATATTATAACGACATTCGGCGAACAAGAAGACGTAAATATTACACTCCACTCAAATGAATATATGAATACAATTAGTAATACTAAAATGGTAGACATGTCTATATATATGAAATAAAGGAATGATGTTTAACATCAGTCGACAATCCATGACTCAAACGTGCATTCTTTCATTACAAATCACTTCCTACGCACCATCAAGCGCTTCCATCGACGCTTAATTATCAAAACAAATTTTATTCGTCTCTCGTGCATCTACACATCATATCAAGTCATGACGGTACAATTTCTCGTTCCAGTCTTGATCCTTCTTTCAAAGATATCTGATCGTAACCTCACTTTTCAGATAGTACGCAAAGCAATTGAGGTACGACTTCAATGCGAAATGGACCTGGTCCAGCAAATACTTCACCATCGACATTCAAGACATCCTCAACAATAGGTTCAATCACCATCGCTTTCACCTTGTGATATCCCACAAGTTCCGATTTCAGGAAGGTATTGCTTAAATAGCGTACAGCAATCTCAGCAGTTTGTAATAAATTACCTTTCCGAGAGTAGATGAGATCCATATTACCATCCGAAGGATGCGAGTACTTTGTCTCAAAGTATACATTCGAACCACCAGCAGACGTAAGTTCGGATGACATACTCTGCCACTTGCCTGCATACTTGTCTTCACGAGCAGGATGAAAAATCGACTCTGCATCGCCCTTCCATTGCTTTGTAGATGGGTCCGAGTCATCGTAAACACTACAGCGTTCCACATGATGTTGGTCTTCTGCCGTGTCGTCCATAATTTCGTAATATGTACGTAAAATTTGTTTCCCCGTCTTGGGATCCACGGGTACATTGTCTGACAGCACGTAACTAATCTTTGCCTCGTGTTTGTGTGGTGCAATCAAGCCACGCTTGACCTTGAGATAAAAGTAACGATGTACGCCCAGCCAACGTGTTGCTTCAGATTCAACTGCAATATCTGAGCCAATTCCATAGCTCACACCGGTACAAGCAAATTCTAAACGCGTAGTCCCGTCTTCATTATTAGCTTCGCACGTCATGACATCCAATGGTCGAATCTTACGTTTGATAATACAATAGACTGCCGATGCATGTGTTGGAGTCCCTACACCTTTACCAAAAGCATTATCTGTACCAGCACAAAGGAGTGACACGGGTGTAGTCGCAACTAGCGTACGCCATACACTCTCTTCTCGAGAAAACACACCATTCATGAATTCATTTACTGTACCATCCCCTCCAACAAATACAATCGCTTCATACTTAAGACTAAGATCAAAAGCTGCTCCAATATCACGTGCATGTCCACTATATTGTGTCTCTTCGACATCACATTGAATACCAGCACGTTCCATTAATGGTCTCCAATGTTCCCATATCTGACGTCCACGACGTCGTCCAGAGTACGGATTCACAATGACTTTAATTCGACGTGTAGCACTCTCTGGTACACGTGCCATCCATTTGACATAACGCTGCACAGACGCAATAAACTTGGCTGCAATTTCTTCTTCATGGAATCGAAGTGTTACTGTCCCATATCGACGCATTAATCGATGATGTTCTTTTCCTCGTCCTGGTAGCATATATTCCACAATCACATTTGTTTTACTTCCATGTGTCAATGATGCAGTTAATACATCATCTTTGGCAATGACCATTTCTTTACTTTTCTTTCGAAAAAGCGAGATACGTTGACATGTAATTCCATCACGATTCACATGGACAGTCATATGACGCCAAACTGACCCAAATTGCATTTCCATTCGTGCAGTTAAAACACAATCTTCTGGAAATTCACAAAGTCGATGTGAGTACATTTCTCGCACAATCTCACGTGCAGATGCAGCCGTTGAGAAGCGAAAACGTACTTGACGTGTTTCAATTGCTTCTAAAGCAGCATCACGTTGTGGTGAACCAGACCAGCTTTTATATCGTCGAAGTGTTCGTGTTGATTCCATTGTATCATGTTTTTCAATCTGACTCTCATCTTGAGTCCGATAAAAACCAGTTAAAGGTACAGCAACTGTCGTCGCACGTTGAAACGATAGTGCACGAGATGAAGCTTCACGTAGAACACGCTCACGTATCATTCGAAGACGTTCTCGATCTTCTCCAGTCAGTGCTTCACCGTCACTACTGAGAACAGTCACACTTGAATCTCGTTTTTCGATCGTCACATCCTCATCATGAGGTTCGTGCAATACTTGAGTTTCATCGTCAAGAACTTTGACAGGCTCAACGTATGTATACGCGTCATGTTGATCAAGTGTTGAGACCATTAACATGAGTCGAATGGAAGAAGTCAAGGCACCAAGAACTTGCTAGTAACTTAATAAGTGACTTAGGAAAAATGTCGTGACGTCTTTACTGTATACGCCCGAAAAAAAGGCTGATTGTGGTGGGGGTAAGGAGCTGAACTTGAGACTGGATGTTTCGTGTTATGATAGGTTTAAGAAGTTGGAGAGGGGATTTAAGCTTGAACTTTGGATTACATTTCATGAGAAAGGATCGTTTTAAATGAATTGAAAGGATTTGCCGTCTGTGCGAAAACTGCATGTTGCCATCATCACCGAGCCCCATTTTGCTGATACTGGATAGAAAACAATTGCAAGGGACGTATGAAGCATCTACTGAAGTTGGAAATATATGAGATTACAGATTTTTGAGAGATCTGGTAGATACTGTACGTGCTGAGATGGAGGACGAAAGGACGAAAAGAATGTCTCCTTTGCTGACAGAAAGAGGAGACAAAACGTGGAAATGTTTTGTATACGTCAACATTGCTTACAGCCAGTCAAGGTTAATGAATAGAGTACTGGTTTAAATAGATCATGTGTATGTGGAATAAACGTCAAATTGTTCTACGTTTCTAATTCTTATCAGGCTGCCTATGTCCTGAAATTTATTACCTGAAAGAACGTTATCCGGAGATTACATACGACGTTTCTTTCTGAAGGTATTTATCTCATGTCTCTATTCACATTTTTCGATAATTTGGTTGACAGATTGTAAAAATGCACAAATTGCGTCAGAGGAAAGTCCGCCCTGGCGCAATCGACGTGATCAGTAATCCATCTACTCGATCGTCCTACTTCAAGATGCGAAGCTAGTCTCAGTCACAAGTTTGCTGACACTTAAATCGGTGTAGCCTCCCGTCTCAGTTCGAAATGTTGTAGAAAAAACAGAATGAGTATGTATTCGGATTTCTGTCTACTATAAGATAGAAACAGCTAGCCGGGATATGGCACTTTTCGAACAATTGCTCTTTGCAAGATTCAGTAATATATATCAAACGAACGAATACACGATACTTTTCAACTTCTTGTGATTTGAACTGCGCTTGGAGATAGCAAAAGAATCCTTTTCTCGTACTCTCAGCAATATGAGTACACAACTTTGAGATACTTGATTACTGATAACATTTCCTAGCGACACACAAATGTAAGGTGTACATTTGTAGTTTCACGATCGGGGATTTGACAATGGATCCACTGAGATTACGAATAGAAGCCGGATCTATATTAATGGCCAAGAGTTTTTAACGGAAAGCTCAAACAGTAGGCTGAGTCTTAAGTTCTTAAGCTTTCACGAGCATCCCTCTCCTTAACCCCAACTCAACTTTTTTAAGTAAGGCTCATAAGAACCTTCGACACTTTAAATGTAGCAAGAAGCACAGAATCGCTTGGGTAAACAATGCTTGTTTGGTTGAGAACTGTGATTTGATATGATAAAAATGGGCGGATGCAAAAGTGAAAGGCTCGGATCGATGACTACAGATACTATCTATGCTGCAGATCCGATTTCAAAAGGTGAATGTTTGATTCGCACCCAAGGCTGGCCCTCGTTCACGATGCCGGCGGGATCGCCGATTTTTGACTGGACCTTGTCATCCGAAAACTAAACAATGCATGAGATTGAGCGGGACTTTAAAATCACGTCTTTTCGCTGACACCGAGACGATTTCCGCAGCGCAGCACTTAATGATCTAACTACTGTCAAAGGAGATGTGTGGGCAGTACTGACTCGTTTACTTATCTGAAAAGACAATTATGAATTATAAATTAGAATTATGATATGTAGATGGTTAGATATAATGCATGGCAGAGCTTTGACACCAGTTCCAAGAGAGTTGAAGGGCACAGTCTGATAAACGCTCATGGTTATCAAACGCTCGGAATACACTATAGCAAGTTAATAGAAGCAGCAGAATCAAAAACTCGAGGTGGTGTTTTACGAATCTTGCAAAGAAGGTTGGAATAACCAGCAGCAAATCAGCAAGGGCAATTAATGGTTATAGCACTTTGAATCAGTAAAGGCAATTGATAAAATTTCTGGACTGCTTTGTAATCAAAGGATCCGAAATAGCTGCATCATGTTGTCACTACCACACAGTGGGCGTCATTGCCTTTGGCTATATCAGAGATTAAAGCTCGCTGCACGATGAAATATCCAGCTCGAGTGTTCAAATTATTAAATTCGACGACATAATGTGATTTCTCTACATTTTGGCTGCGTTGATTGTAATCCGTTCCAAAACCCAAACTTTGCTATGTTTTACTCTCTTCTGATCAGCATTATCTACTTCAATAAAGGCCTCGCTTTATATCATGAGCACCTCTTTATCTTCTCCAATATCCATAAACACTCAAGCCCACTATTGTGAATTTATCAAATCTCGTTCGTTCTTCTTCTTTTTTTTCTTGATTGTAAGGTTACAAAAAAATTTCTATCCTTCTCAGTGATTACGACCGTTTGGAAGATCTTGCAATGCTTCCAAAAAGTTCGTAAACTCTCATTTACTTCGGCGACAAATGTATCATGTTTATCCATCTATGAATGGAATAAACAAATAAGGAGATTGTATTCGATAGTGCAGTAGGTTGTCGATTGAAAGACATACCTTCTGTTTGCCAGAACCAGTTGATCATGCAGTTGACGTTCCTATTTTCGCTTTGTAGCACCAATTTGACAAGTAAATATAGAGATAAGGCAAGATATATTCGAGGTCAGGTGGCTATTTATGCTGCTTTAAGACGTAGGAGACAGCAGATCTACTATTGATAGCAGACCAACAATAGTATCAGTCACAGAAGGAGTACGTCTCCGTCAACGGTCTGTCAGGGGTTTCTTACCTTCTCCACCTCATTTCTAGACTTTCTTGTGCTTAACGCTTGAATCATGAGCAATGGGAACGAAGTTGTTCGATTTGGAGACGTGATTAAGCTGCGGACAAAGTCAGCTTTTGTTGAGTCGACATCAGAATCCAGTTTAGGTTTTCTTGAGCTACTGAACAAAGCGCAGACTCAATTGCTTGTAGTTTCTCCAGTAAAGGACGAGGTTCAAGATCGTTTTGTCGAAGCTGAATTCATCATGTAGGTCGAAAGTTTGTTGATTCCTTACAATGAGGATAATGACTTATCTGTATATACTAGTTCTCCTGTAAAAGGCGATAAAAAGCAGGCGAACGGCACGCCTTTGACGTTTGAGACTCCATTTGTGCTTCATACATCGGATGGCAAAAATGACAGCACGTATTCACTTAATAACAAAGTGGCGGGTCAGCGCGACGGTATCAGCTTGCAGGTTTCAGCAACCAAAGGCGAGATGTATATTCAAGTGGAGAAAGAAGGTTGTACAAACTCTATGGATCTGCTCTATGGTACGGATGGTCTCAGTCTTCGCGTCGTGGACTCAAATCGTGTTCGTAAGTCGCTTAATCACTTGCTGACTCATACTCTGAGGCCAAAGAGCGATATGATCGGTGGTATGGTCACATGCGGTACAAAAGGTTCAGCCCTTACATTCAGTTTTCAGCGCTCAGTTGACGCTGACGGTCAGGTGAAGACTGAGACGATCAAATATATTAAGAACCCACAGTCTCGTCGCACTAGCATTGATGCGCTTGGTCCAACTAAGGTGGATGAACTTGGTCGTGCTGATCGCATCGATAGCAGTGAATTTTCGGATGTGGACGCTATGAGTCGATCTAGCAGTCTTGCTGGTATTAGCTCGAATCCTGCTAGTCCTCGTAGCAGTTCTATGACAAGTGCATTAGCGACTCCTGTTAATGCTGCAGCTGTGGCTGAACGTTTACCAGTGGTTAAGGATGTTGACGACCCTAAAACAGAATCTTCGCATTCTACAACTAGTGCACCTCCAGCTGTAAATGAGGTATTGTCTTCTGTTCCTGAAGATTCGACTACTGAAGGTTCACTTCAGCTTAGTCCACCTGCTTCCCCTTCAGAGCCTGTTTCTATACCAGACTCTCCTCCAAAGCCAATTAGTAACGAGGAGAACGCAAAGACATCTCCTGTTTCGTCACCGCTTAAAAGTGTAGCCTCTGCGTCGCCACCAAAGGTTGAAATAGTCGAGATTGGGTCGATTGAAACTGAGTCAGTCTCGGATAGTTCATTGACGACAAAGCAAGATGAAACAATATCTGAGGTGAAGATTCTCACTCCATCCGATCCTGTCACAAGTGAGATCGAGACAACTCAAGATACCGCTTCTGCAACACCAGTTGAACCCAGAACGGTTATTGCTGATGCTTCAACTTTTCCTCCGATACCAGCGATCAATGGCCCTGCACCTGCTCTCATTGTGCCATCACCAAAATCATTGACTTCCCAGAAGACAACGCCAAAGGCAGCTACAACCCCAATCAATGTGCCTTTGGTACCTAAAATCTTTAAAGCTGGAGAAGTGTCGAATCTGGAGGCTGAAGCCGACGTAGAGATTCTGGACCCAGCATGCGGTGCAAAATGCAGCATCATGTAGACCCATTAATTACACTCAATCCTTGCTACATTAAATATTAACTTTAAAACCTTCCACGCTCTCTATCCAGTCGTAGATATCCTGCATGACTTCAAAAGCTATTTGATCTCTTACTTCAGCCTCTTTACATTCGCGCTCATGTCTCTGTTTTCGTAGTTCACGTTGAAATTCGGCAGCTTCACTCACAGCAATTCGTTCAAGACGTTTCAGGTCAAGTAATTCGCGTTCCCGGGCTGAATCGTCAGCAATGGCGCTGATCATAAATCCGTCGTCGTTCATGTATGTTTCGGCTAACAGACCACGCTGCTGCACACGCGTGCTACGAAAACCTCCGCTTGTGTTTTCGAGCACTAGTTGAGCGTAGATTGGATCCATATAATATGCTAATGCTCGCCGTACGAAGAACTGTTGTATTGGTGTAGACGGAGAGCATAGACTCAAACCTGGAGGTGCGACCGGACGTCTACAATCATGGACGGCTTGAGCTCGGTTGAGCGCTTCAGATGCCGTGATGCCATAGATCCGACCAAGCAGCAACGCTGACACGAGTCCAGTTCGACCGTGACCGTGTTGGCTAAAGATGTACAAATTCTTGCCGGCACGTAGCCTCGACTCGACTTGATTTATAAAAAACGTCATGAATATATCGATGTCTGGGACTCCATCATGGTCAATCGGGAACGACAAGAACTCAAGCTGCATCAAACCTAAAGACTTCAACTCTTGTGACGTCTTGGTAGCCTGTTGCTCAGCAAGTTGAAGCTTCTGTACTAATGCTTCCCGCGCCATTATCAAGTCTTCTGCTTCCTCTGCTCTTTGCTCCAGTGTAACTAGTACTGTTTCCGCTTCATAGCCTTTGCTTGTTTTGTCTTGTGTTGCAACGCTAGAAGCTACAGCATCAAACTTGGCCAAGGCTTGCTTTGCCAACGTAACATGGCGTTTGCTCACCTTTTTCGCGCTTTTGAGATCTTTGCAAAGAGCTTCGTACCTGGTGCGAACTTGACGCTCATAATTTACGCCTATATTCTCTTTCTTCATACGTGTGGCTTCATTTGGTGTCATCAAACTTACGAAGACACTGATCTGATGTAGGAGAACCGTAGTTGCAAAGTCTGTACGTGAGACCAGTCGTCGTGCTTCTTGAAAGGCTGGCCCAATGGGACAACTTCCTGCGAGTACGCGAGATCGAATGACCCAGTATGACGTATCAGCTGGACCCGCATGGTTTGCTTTAAATAATTTATACGCTGCCATATCTTCAATCACTACATGGTTTTCCACTGTCATGGTCTTGTCTTGAGCTGTTCGTCGTCGAGCTCCCATCCGCGGTAATCTCGGCAACATATTCTTCATGCCGTGACTTGGATGCCACGTTGTCGCTGGTACAGGCAGACAATTACAACGTCCTGATACCTGTCGCCACTGTTGTAAAGCTCGACGCTTTCGTTCATCGATGTGCCAGATGAAAATAGCACAGAGTTTTTCTGCTTTGAGTTGTCGAAGTCGATAGAGTTCCAAAGCATCGATTGCAGACGGGATTGCCATATTTCGGGTAATCTGGCGCTCCTTTTCTCGTATCCTTTCAGCCAGTCGTCGAGTCCAAGCTTGCAAAATACGAGATGCTTGATCTCGAAGCTGCATCTCTTGTCGTGCGCGATGAAGCGCCACGTGGTTACGCCAAAGTTGCCATGCAAATCCTGTATAGACAAACAGCATTTGTTTCACAATCGCTTGAAGATGCTGTCGACTTACACACTCCGGAAAAATCAAGTCATGTTGAGCAATCATAAAGTAGCGGATGCGAGTCATTGGAGCCCATGGCATGAGTACGGCTTCTTGGGTTGAATTACGTCTTGTAACCTGCAAATCACAACGTTCACCAGTCTCAAGCGACTTGGCATCTTCTTCACGTAATGAATTCGTGCAACCAATCGTTTCCATCCACGTATGAAAGTCCCATGTGCCTTGACTCAAGTCATGATAGAATTTTGCGTCATCCTGACGAGTAAAGTGCACGTCACTTAGTGCTGCTACTGTTTCATTCACAATTTCACTCAAAGTTCTAGAAGACGGGAATGTCATTACGTTTGCTAGATCATTTCTAGCGCCGTCGCCATTCTTGAATCGTTGATAGCGATTCATGCGTCTTCCTTCTCGCTCGCTTCGATATTTACCACGTGCAATCTGTTCAGCCGTCACAGCTGCTCGCAATGCGCTTAGTTGTGATAGAAAATTTCCAAGTTCAAGCGGCCAATACATCTCAGTGTCAACGTCTTTCACATCCCAATCAGAAAGTGTCAGGACTGCTCGAAAAGAGCCATTTGGTAGTGTTTCCACCCCTCGCATAAACAGCACACGGTGATAGAAGGTGCCATCTTGTGAAATTGTAGAAGACTCTCGGCTTGCCAACGTGCCATGAAGCAGCTCGCGTGACCAGCGCGAACATTCTGGCGCTCGAAAGAAGACATGCGTTCCAGTTGGAATCAATTGTCGTGAGTTTGTTTGATAGGACAGTAGAGTACAAAGCGGGATATTCTCAGTTTTAGATGACACTATAGCCGCTTCAGTCTGACATTTTTGATCAGTCTTGCTGCTTGGTCGATAGAAGCGAACTGTGTGAGTTGAAAGTGAGGGAATCTATGGTCATTTTACATATGTCAGTATTACATTCTCACCATAATAATGATAAACACTTTCTTACAATGTGAATGGCGTCTGTGCACCTGAAACACAGGGAGAGATTGCAGTCGTCACAGTTAAAAACAGCGTCAAAGGAGTTACACTCCTCGCATCGCCATGGTGTTTGATTTGGAGTAGTCTTTGTTATCAAAGGCAATTCGTTGCACTCGAATTGAGACTTGAGTTCTGCTTCGGTCACGTTTGGAAAGTTTTTTATGATCCATGCAGCTACATAGTCGGTAGGATCCCTTGCTTTCCGACTTGAGATGTCTTCAGCTGCTACGCTTACATCTTGTCCAAGGAAATTACAGGTTAAGTCATCACTTTGAGCTGCGTTGAAAGTGGTTAAAGACATCATTTACGTCGACATTAGTGATAATGGACATCTGCTAATAGCATGTTAGTTATCCCATTAGTCTTTGTGAAGCGTCGCCGTCCGAAGCTTTCGACAAATTAGCAACATCAAACAAACGGGAAGAAAGAGTTCGACTTTTTGTATTCAAATACGTCAAGGCAATTGCAAAATTCTCTGTCGTATGTTGTGTCTGTTCCTTGCTCCTTTCAGTGAATGCAATCAGCAATCCTCTCACTCTTCAAGTTTCTCGATGATGTCATCTCAGCTTTCCTGTGTTGTGTGTTGTGTATGTGACTCTTTCGGCTTCAGGCCAACGAACTTGAATGACGATACAAATCACTGCCAAAGTCGCTGTGCATACTCAAACGGTCATTACCATTGTCGTTTGCAGTCATCGAGCTCATGAAGCCAAAGCCAGGAAAATTGCTAGAAAAACTACCAGATGACTGTAAAGCTGGATCGTAAAATAATGCTCCACTTGATGCTCGTCGACTGTTCGACTGTCCATCAAATCCCAAAGAGCCTAAACTTCCACCATCCCATGTATCAGGTGTGGACAAAGCTCCGCTCGCACTTTGGCTGCGCTCAAAAAGCCGACGGCCGGTGCCAGCACTTGATCCCGGATTCGAAAAAGTCGGATATTCCCCTCCAAAGCTTATGTTGACATTTGGTAGCATTTGCTGGAGAAATGCCAGTCCACTAGCTTCCTCGCCCGAATGGTTGGTCTTGCCAAATGGCTTTTCATTGCGACTAAAGTTTGATATATACGTTTCCATGGGAGGAGTTGGCGGCAGAGGCGCATGAAGCACATTCTGTTGCGAAATTCCAAGGGTTGGAAAATTTTTGGAACGGTCGACGGTAGAAAATCCTGACGAAATCGACGGTGTCATGCCGTGCAAAGCCTCTGAATCTCCAAATGTGCTTCTTGTATTGACTGTCGTTCCATCGAGCAATTCGTACCGACCACTAGTCTGTTGGATACCATTATGGCCGATATCTGTAGCATTTGCAAACGAAAAGCGTGAAGTATGTGCATCCTTCGGTGGCGCTGCTACAGGAGCGCTATGTGCTAAAGGGATAGGAGCCAACTGAACACCAAGCAGCCCTGCAAGAGCTTCGGACGATTCATTGCGCTGACTAAAGATTGCATCAATTGATGCAAACGATGACGAAGAAGTGGCAGCTGCCGATACACTTGAGGAAGCCGACGAAAATGGGTCCAGTTGACTGTCTGACAATGTCGAAGATCCCCATAGATCACCAGATACTGATGGATTTAACGTAGTTTCTCGTATACTAGTGCTACGATGAATGCCTCCTTCAAATCCAAGTCCAAAAGGACAATAATGTTCTGTTGTACTCGACAAATTCAGCTCATCACTCTCAGGTTGAGAGACTACGGGCATTGGGAACGGTTGTGCCCACGCTGGCTGCTCTGTAGTTGATCCGGTTGCCAATTTTAATGCCTCTAAGGGACCAATAACCTCTTCGGTCACTCGTTCTTTATCTTCTTCCCGACTTGTGTCAACCCGTAAATCTGGTTTCTTGTGTGGAACATGATCATGGGATGCATCTGAAACATTGTGTACAGCTGAGGCAGACGAAGCTCTACCGCTGCGTCCGGCTACAATATTGCCATACGAATGTCCTCGCGTGAGTGGGGGAAACCCTGTGTTATGTGTGCCTTCCGTATGATCCGGTGACGAAGAGCCAGAACTACTACTATCTCCTGCTTTCTGCCGAAGTTTCGAGATTGCAGCTGCGCTCTGTGCATGTCGCTGAGAATCTCCATACGGATCTTCGCTGTGTGATCGAATCAATGCTGCGTTTCTACTTGCAGACCCTGTTCTACTAGTACTTCGACTCGGTCGATGTGGTGGTGGAAATCGTGTACCTTCTCGTTCCTGAATCTGTCCATTAGCCATCGACAAATCTCGAAACGCTGCCTTTCCAGAATGTAAAGCTACAATGACAAAACATTAGATTCCTTCTATCTTAACAATAGAGACTCAAGTAGTCTACCCGTCTGCATCTCTTCTTTTGTAAAACTATCGTCGTCGTCGCCTAATTCGTGTAGATAAAGACACTCTGGATTATTGCATTGCATATTGCGCAAAAAAAAATTGCAATACTTGGTTGTGCCAAATGAAGCCCTACCCACAGTAGCTACCGGTAAGATTCGTCAACACTTTCATACGGTAACCTATGATAAAACGTACCGTAGTAAACTTCCATCAAGGTAGTATCCATCAATTGCTACAATGCAGCATAATGCGTCTTCTTTATGGGCAAATGTGATATAAGCACTAGCAGTAGCGTTCGCTCTGTCCGTATTCAAGTGACTCTTGTTCACGACAGCCTTTACAATCTTGCCATACTGTCCAAAACATTCATTCGAGCGTAAAATATCTTCGTCTGCAAATTGAACGGGTAGTCCAATGACGTAGACGAGGTTCCGCTGCATCACACGCACATTCTGCAGACTTTTGCGATTTACTGTCGCATTCTTTGCCTGTGCTGCTGAACGTCGCTCAGTCTTTTCTTTTAGTTTACGCTGTTTTGTACGTCGTACCACCCTATAAAGTCTCAATTAGAATAAAAAATGAAAACATGTATGGACCTTGCTACTTACTCATCGCGGTCCGGCGGGTTCTTTTGCTTTGAGATTTCTGCATAAGGCTGACGACAGGCAGGGCATAGTCCATTGTATTCATTTTTGATTTGATGCCAGCACCAAAGACAGACTTGATAACCGCACGGACAAGCATTAAATGTCTGGTCCGTAATGTCCAGCTCCTCCATACACAGTGGGCAACAATCAGCCTCTTCGTTGTAGTCAGACATGTTCTTGATAATCTATAGGGGGAGAGGTAGAACGTAAGAGTGAGGGTGAAAGACATGAAGATCTGCCGAGCGTACAGAGATTCCGTACACTAATAAACTCTTCGAAGTCGCGGTGTGCTCTTTCTCTATGGCGGCTGGCTGCTGATCCTTTCACCAGTATTACCTGTCAAACACGATACATCAGTCTTTAGAGCCCTTGAATACGTAATTTACTGAGAAGTTTATTCTCTCTCACCCTTCAATTTTTATTATTATTTAGAATGAGAATAGCATTCGGACGGAGATTTGTTAAAAATGGGGTAATATATATACCGGTGAAGAGAAATATGTAAAATTAGCCGGTTTTATAGTTTTCATGTGTAATCAATTACGAGAAGATTGAGCTATATCAGCGTTCAATAGTGCCGTTAGTCTTAGTATATTCGTTATCTCACATCCAGTTCACGACACTAACGAATGCGAAGAGATCTAATGATTTGGTCAATATTGGTCTTTAGCATAGCGTCTAGAGTTTCATTGATTTTGGAGAACATCTGCCACAACATGCAGCAGTTGGTAGCAGTTCTTTTGACATGAATCATATTAGCTAAATATAAAAGATTGATGAGGTACACAATCATATAAATCTCTTCTCTCCACAAAATTCATTACAGATGTAAAGACAAGTTAATGCACGATGTCGATGCAGAAAAGGAAGGTGTGCAGTCATTGCTTGAAGCAAAATGAGCTGGAAGCAGGTGGTCCATGTCACTTAGAATTATCGATGAAAGTCATGCTCATAAAAGGTTGCCTCTGAAAGAATCGAAGAAGACAGCGTTTTTTTACGAAGTTCGTATATCGCTTGAGCACGAGCTATATTCATAAAGACCAGTATATCAACTTTGATCTGGCATACTAATATCACAGCTCACTCGTACGTGCGCACCAATTCATATGCAGCTCCTTGAGCTTAAGAAATCATCTCGCTGTGCAAATTAAGGTGAGCAAACATGCTGGACAGACGTGTCGCCTTCTCTATGACTTGACGAACTGGCATTTGTTTGTTAGCTTTCGAAATTTGAGGAAAATGTGAACTTTATCGTTTACATTTGTTTTGTCGCGCCTGGCTGCAAAGAGAAAAAGTTGTGTATCAGGTGCAAATTTATATAAATCTCACGTTTCTTAAATATTGTTTCGAGAAAAGAGCAATCGATGTATTTCATGAAAGCAACAGGGTATGGATTTATCGAAATGAAGGCTTTTAACTATGCTCTATGGAAAGGCTTTCAGGTCCAATCAAACGCATGGTACTTTAAAAAACTGCATTCGCTTGGTCAATTGGGTAAGCAATTCCCGATCTTGCAAACTCTGTTTAATGCGCGGTTGTTTCTGTCTCAAAGCAAAAGAATCTCATCGTCAAGGATAAAGGGGAAGCGAAAACACCAACACCATGGTGCAATACAATTGTACAAAGTCCATGGCCCACGGACCACTGTCGAAGTTGATGAATACCGCACGCTATCGGATCACTGTATGTTTGCAGATGACTTAGCCAATCGTTGATAGCACTTTCTGCAGCGGGGCTGCCGTAGCTTTGCACCTGAGGAAGCGTCTTTAGGTCACCGACTCTTCGTTCCATGTTCTAGTAGTGCAGCCGATCGCAATCCACTGCCTCTACAAGTACTTTAAAGCCTTAACCAAGGCAAATGAACACTTTTGTTCAAAATCGATACTGATTTTGACGAATATCTTTATCCTGATGGTAAAAGTTTAGATTTTCCTAAATATACTAAATATATATTGTAGAATCTAAATACATCCATAACTACTGGCTACCTAGCCCCGTCCCGTATTCTTGTTTGGGCGTGTGGTCACATTATGCACATCTCGTGTGACACGCACACACACATGTTATTAGGGTTCGTGTAACCCCTTTACATCCTCCCCACTAAGATTGAGAACATTTACAGTTCCGATCAATTATTGCCTCAACGAGCCTCGCGTGTCCATTATACACTGCAACTTAATTTGTTGGAACAAACAACTTCCTTGCTCAATGAGCCCTGTGTCAATGACACCAAAA